AGGCCTCATGCACAATGGATGTTTTTTTCAGCTGCTCCTAAGGACGTCTGGCAATTTTTTTTCTACCTCTAAACGCCCCTGCATGTTATCATATGTGTGCATGCACCCATAGGCTTTTAGAAGAGTTTAGAGATGGGGTGTTTACAGGCAGAAAAAAAACCCACTGTCAGTGCATTCAGGAGCAGTGGTAGAAAAAAATGCTTGACACTTGTAAACACAAGTAAATGCATGTAAACGCATCTTGATGCGCATTTAGCGCTTTAGCATTAATTCATTTCACCGTCTAGAATAAATTATTATTCTGGCCACTGAAATTAATCAAGGCCCAAGTGCTTCATGCCCCTAAATGCGTTACACACTTTTTCAAGCGACAAGTGTTTTTTTCTGCCAAAATGCTGCTGCCGGGAGGAAAGGCAAACGTCCAGTGTGCATGGGGCCTAAGTCTGATGTATGGGGATGCAGTGCCATATACTTATTTATGATCTATTAAGGGTACTACTGAGTTCAAAATATTCATTTATTTGAGATGGCATACAACACTTTGGTTTAGGCTTTCATAGTTTCTCAACTGAATATACTCTAATTATATGGGCCTTGCTATGATAATTTGCACTTAAAGCGGAGCTCCACTCAAAAGGGGAAGTTCCACTTTAAGGCTTCATCCCCCTGCTCCCCATTAAGAGTTGTCACCTTTTGGAAAGGGAAGGGAGCGGGTACCTGCTCCCACTACTGCTGCGATCACCTAGGTGATTGGAAGCGGACGTTGTTCTTTTCTCCCCGTAATCTTCTGGGATACATGACTGGTTTCAGAAGACTACTGGACCATTCAAAAACTCAGCTCTACTCGCTCATGTGCAGTGGGCACCCAGGCTGTGAAGCCTCAAGCTGTCACAGCCGGATGCCAATACTGAAGATACTGACGCAGGGAACACAGGATAGCCGTGAACCCGGCCGGTGTGACGACACTGCGAGATTGAAGGACAGGTGAGTGTGTGTTTTTTAGAAGTCAGGAGCTAAATTTTTTGCAGATTCTGACTTTTATTTTTTTTTTTTTTTCATTTTGACTGGACCTCCACTTTAATAACGTGAACAGTCAGTGATTAGGTCTCTCACATCATTTGGCTTCAGCAATTTGATAACTTGCCAATTATCTATGGTAATATATTCCTTCTGAGTATGCTATAATACATATCCCTTGTCTTAGCTATATTGTGACTGAATCTGTACAAGTGCAAGTCTTTTTCAGCAATAATGTTGTTACTGTAAGCTCATTTAATACTAATAAAATCTCTTTTGGATTTGCAAAAAAACTGAAAACATATAGATACTCTAAGGCTCCATTCACATTAGCTTGTGTCCAAAGTTGCACGATTTCCACTGCAACTTTTATGCGACTTTTGATTCGACTTTGATTCAGCTTTACATTCTCTGGACCAAAGATTCATCCCAAGTCGCACCAAAGTAGTTCAGGCACCTTTTTAAGTCACACCAATTTGCCACTAGAAAGAATGGTCTGTGACTTGTAATGCGATTTTGATGTCCGAAGTTGCATGACAAGTCGCACAAGTGTGAATGAAGCCCAAGAGTAACCCTTTATTGAAATAATTGTATCTATGTTAAATATAGGCATTATAAACCTCTGTACCTGCACCTAGTTTTTTTCACCTCTATAAGATATGCATTGGCCATGTAGTTTCTTGGTGTCATTTGTTGCTCTGTGCACAGTCTGTAACAGTAAATCTTCACATTCCTCTGTCAGCAGCATCTGTTTGTGTAGAAGCATGGGACATGTGGCATAGCACTGCCCAAGTTAGTGCATGAACTTAGTAGTGTGAGAACTGCATTTTCCTGGGAAGAAACTATATATCCCACAATCCCTGCGTCTCTCAGTCTACTTTTGTGCAGGTGAGAGCTATACATTAATTAGATCTGCCAGATACGAGCAGGAAGAGCATTCACAGACAGTAAGAGTTCACTGATGCAGCTGGAAGATGTTTTTTTTTTAAATCACATTAGCACTTCCACAATTGATATGTGACACAGTGTGGATGACAATGCATACACCAGACTCCGTGACCCTGAACTGCTAGTTGTGTTGCTTATTTGGCTGTAGCAAACCATGGAACTAAGGGGATTGATCAGCCATGACACTACATTCTTCAGCCACAACACATGAGCCCATCATTACAAGGTACAGATGAAAGATTCTCTTGTCCCTTTGCTCTGAAGGACTTTGCGCTGCTACCCTTTTTTCATCTGTTGAAGCCAGAGGAAATACCTGCTGGCTACAGGTATGGAGAAGCATGTGACCTTCTCTACTATCTCCCATGGTGCAGTATTTGGGTCTGATCTGTCAATCTCCAGGCCCAAATACTGCCTTTTGTGACGGGGGGCAGGTCAGTAACCCTGGAGCCATGGAGCTTACAGAGAATTTACACCCAACATCTCCAACAGATTAGCAGAGCAGTGAAACAGGGTGGCAGAGATGAGCATCAGTGCATGTGATGGTGTGTGATTGGGGGGCTTTAATCTGTCACTTTGTTATAAATGGGTAGAATCAAGGAAGTAACTTTGTATATGCTTCTAAACAAAAGGTTGTGGCACATAAAACCTACTATTGAGTAAAAAGCCTTCCCCTAATTAAACTTTAGAAATTTAGAATTACATTTTCTCATTTCCTTTGGGTGTATCCTGTGATGATCAAAAGTCATGCAGATTATTTCTAGGACTTTTGCTTGGCCAAACCCTTGTGATCTTAAAATGTGTATTTGGGGATGGTGAGTGATTTGACTTCATTTATTTTAATCCCATGAGGATTTCCTTTGCTTACTCCTTTTTATGTTTGCAAATTGGTGGCCATTAAATTGAAGCTCTTGGTTTATCCTTTTTTATCAGAGGGTTACAAGCTTATCGAAGAACTTTAGGCAAAAAAAATCACCCATTAGTACACCCCCTACACAAAACACTAAACCGTTAATGAAATTTTTGAAACTAATCTAATTGAATTTTCATGACCTCATCTCTGTGATTCAAAAGATAACAGCATCTGCTCTGCCAAGGAGGAGGTGTGACAGCAGGGATTGCATCATCTCCTCTCCTCTTTCGCTGCAGTAAAAGGAAACTACAGTTCCCATCAACCCAGGGAATTGTAGTGAATGTGGGTGGGTACGCTAGAGTTTTGGTACATCAACCACTGCAAGTGGGGCTCAATTACATCACAGCTTCCTGGAGGAAAAAATACAGTAGGGATGTGCCAGTGGCTGTAGGAATGGGAGGCATAGCAGCCACTGATCTTACAAACCAGAAACCTAAGAGAATTAACGGTTTGATTTGAAAATGAATAAGCTATTTCTGAGCAACTACTGAAAGAACCAGAAAATGGATGACATATCCAGTGAAGGTGGGAAGGTAGGAAATCAGCAACAAGGACATGTAAAGAAGTTTTTACCCAGTGTTCTGCTTTAACCTGAGAATAAAGGATGTCAGTTCAAGCTTTAATACAATTAAAATTAAGATGTATGTAAAGCCCAACCTTTACTTTTGTTTTTTTTGGATAGAGAAGGAAATGTTTAAGGCCCCTGTAATTTTTTTTTTCTCTGTGTCCCATCAGGGAGATTTTCCTTTACTAGAGACAACAACAGGAGGTAGGAGGAAATCTTTCCAAAGCAAGGAGATATCTCCCCTTTGACAATTGTCACTGAAACAGGCATTGGAAGATTTCCACACCTCCTTTTGTGACTTTACAGTTTTGGATTTCTCATCACAGGGACAATAGTCACCTGGAATAAAAGAGAGTGGCGACTCAGAAACAAAAAAAAAAAACTTAAAAGATTAAACAATTCTTTTCTGTATCCGAAACAAAATGTTTTGGCTTAGCATACATATTATGGTTCCCCCTAAACGAATATCACAATATCTGAAATATATTATGAGTGACTGATTATTTTGTGTCCAAAATAGACTTGTATATCACTAGAGAACTGTTTGTAACATTGGAGTTAATTAGGTATGTTTGTCTGTGTTTGCATGTTTGTGTGTGTAAACTTGTTAGGTACGTTTTTAAAAAATAGAAAACTACTCTGAAGTGCCAAGGCACACAATCCTGAATTCCAATACAAGGTATGTTGTGCATAAACTTGGAACTTATATCATAGTATATCAGTTACACTGCCCTGTGAGCAGTATTTATGAGAGCTGTAGCTATAGCCAAAATGCAAACACCCGCAGTACAGGTATCCAAAAATAAAATGAACTGTTGTATTGAGCATAGGTAAAGACATAACTGTGCTATTTGAATTTACCCTCTTTTAAATAATGATGATGTCTTAAAGTGGTATTCCAGGCAGAGGGTTTCCGGCGTGTAAACAAAAGTTACCTGATGAGGTGGATGGCATCTCAAGATTGCTTCTCTGTCCTTGCCTACCGGCACTTATACCCCCTTCTTTATCAGGCCAATTTTCAGCTTTCAGCGCTGTCGCACTTTGAGTGACAATTGCGCGGTCATGCGAGATTGTACCCATATGAAATTTTTATTTTTTTTCTCACAAATAGAGCTTTCTTTTGGTGGTATTTAATCCCCGCTGGGCACTTTACTTTTTGCGCTATAAACAAAAAAATTGCAAAAAATTAAAAAAAAAAAGTTTCTTTGTTTCTATTATAAAATTTTTCAAACGGGTAATTTTTCTCCTTCACTGATGTGCGTTGATGAGGCAGCACTGATGGGCACTAATAGGCGGCACTGATGGGCACTGATAGGCAGCACTGATAGGCAGCACTGATAGGCAGCACTGATAGGCAGCACTGATGGGCACTGATAGGCAGCACTGATAGGTGGCACTGATAGGCAGCACTAATGAGGTGTCATGGATAGGCGGCACTGATAGCACTGATAGGTGGCACTGACTGGCATCACTGCTGGGCACTGACTGGCGGCACTGACTGGCACAACCACTGGGCACTGACTGGTGGCACTGACTGGCAGCACTGCTGGGCTGCACTGATGGGCACTGGTGGGTGGCACTGGTGGGCACATGTGGGCACATATGGGTGGGCACATGTGGGTGGCACTGCTGGGCACAGGTAGGTGGCACTTCTGAGCACAGGTGGGTGCATTGCTGGGCACAGGAGGGTGCACTGCTGGGCACAGATGGGCGCACTGCTAGGCACAGGTGGGTGCACTGCTGGGCACAGGTGGGCGGAACTGGTGGGTGGCACTGCTGGGCACTGATCATCAGTGCCCTGATGCTTGGTGCTGATCCCTGCTTTGACAACTGCCGGTTCTCGGCAGTACTTTCCTCACACTCTGACAGCGTGAGGAAAGTGCAGCCGAGAACTGGCAATTGCATTTCCCGGTGATCAGCGTGTCATTGGACACAGCTGATCACGTGGTAAAAGGCCGCTGTGATTGGCCTTTTACCACATCACGTGATCAGCTCTGTCCATAGGGGGCGTGCAGGAGAGCGCGTTCTGGGAGGACATCATATGACACCCTCTCAGAACTGGCCGACCGCAGTGTAGCCGTCATTCGGCTATCTGCGGTCGGCAAGTGGTTAATTTATTAGTCACTTATGTGACGTGCACGTGCATCTAACACTCGCATCTCCACAGGTTGAAAAAGCTGGGTGGCTATGTTGCTCCTCCATAGGTAACGTGGAGGAGCAAGTAAAAAAAAAAAATTGCAGCCATCACATCACTAATGGTCTGGCAAGCTGCAAAATATATATATACTTTTTCATGGGTTCTGATACGGTTTTAGGAAGGTCAATTGTTTACATAGTTTTACTAGCATTTATCGCTGGGGGAATGTCAAGCTGGAGGCTATAGCAAGTGTGCTACAAGAAATTACCAATGCTCACTTATCCCTTGCACACAACCAGTAGTCTTCCATTCCCACACTAGGCTCCTTTGGCTGTGCATTCTGTTTTTAGCTTTGTACTGTGAAAGCTGCTATTCATAAACAAGATAAGTTACTTGCATAAAAAGACCTTATTTCAGGATCATTAAAGTGGTATTAATCCCAAAACCAAAAATATAATCTATAGCAGCTTACCAATCATTAGATGTGATGTCTGCATTAGTTTTCTTTTTTAAGGCTTTTTCACTCGGTTTTCACCTAGTGTTCTGGCCAGTAACTCACCTCCTGTATTATAGTGCCTCCACTCTGCATTGGGGGCACCTTTGGACAGCATTATTGTCAGTTTGGGGAGAGGGGTGTGTTAGATGTACTAGTAGATTTAAAGTGATTTTAAAGGTTTACATTTTATTTTTTTTTAAATGACAAACAAGTCATACTTCTGAAATAGTTTTGCACAGAACAGCCCGATCCTCCTCCTCTGGGGTCTCCCACCGGCGCTTCTAATGTCAACCCCTCACTGAGGATGCAGGGAGCCGAGAGAACCTCTGCTCTTGTGCATATCGCTGGATCAAGATTGGGCTCAGGCAAGTATAAGGAGGAGGCTGGCAAGGAAAGCTACATACAGAAAGTTTTTTTTTTTACCCTAATGCAGAGAATGCATTAAGGTAAAAAAAACCTTCCTGCCTTTAGAACCACTTTAAATACAGTAACAAATTGAAGCCAAGCTCCCGTCAACGCGTTTTGCCCCACCCATCGGGCGTTCTCAAGGTCTTGAGAACGCCCGATGGGAGGGGCGAAACGCGTTGACGTAATTCCGGTCGATTTGCCATACGTCTGACGGCACTTCCGGTGAGTGGAGCGCACGCCGGGCGGTGCGTTCCAGTGGCCATTTTGTGGGATCTAGGCTGGTTCTCTGCTGTTCCTCTGCTCTATCTGGCTGCATTGCTGTGGGAATCCTGGATCATGTTGGCTGGTTTTCATCATAAGGCTGTCATGGGCTTAATAAATGTGCCTGTCTTTTGGTATAATACTGTTGTGGCAATATTACACTATATAAGTTTTCTCTTTGACGATATGGTGGAGCAAACTAGGAAGCCACGGTGAGGACCTGAAAGAAGATCTAAACTTGGAGGGGCAGGCTATCAGTGAGCTGATGAAAAGGGGGTTTTAGGATTCCCCAAAATCCTTAAAGGCTTTTCACTCACCAAAATCTGGTGAGTGTATTTTTGATGTTGGTGTGTGCACGGTGAAAGGTGGAAGGTTATAAACATCTTTGGAATCTTCAGTTATCTTCACAAGGGACTTTATGGGTTTTTTCTGAAGATTTTTTGATATATACATGCACTATTTAATATGGGACATTTATATGGTGATATTTGTATTTAGGTCTATGTTGCGCTGTTTATCTATATATTTTACTGTTTGTGTTTTCACACATTTTTTGCACAGCAGCAATTTAGAAGGGTGATTTATTGATTTTGATTGGCGCAGGAATATTTTTTTTTTTTGTATGGCTAGCTTAACACTACAGAGAATACTGAGCAACTCACTCTCAGCATTCCATCAGTCAAAGGAACGTACAGTCTTTATCAATACCATACATGTACATGCGCTAAAGTCCCTTTGGTTAGAAGCTAGTTAGCCAGTAAGTCTAATGGCCCTACCACTACCATACACATGCACACACTAAAGTCCATTTGTGTAGACTTTAGTTGGCTAACCGGTATATTTTTTTTATGGTTGTGGATGAAAAATTAAGCTTCTAGAGAAAAGCCACACAAACATAGAGAGATCCATGCAAACTCTTTGCATATTGTGTCCTTGATGAGACAAGGACCCAGGATTCCAGTGCTGTAAGGCATATAATCCTGCCTCTTTGCCAAGTGTGATGCTACTAATTATAAATCATACTAATCTCCAAGGCTACACTGGCCTTTTACTTTATTTTTATAATTATACTTTAATAGTAGTACTTTTCAATTTTACTACATTGTGGTTATAATACCAAATTAATAGTTAGTTCAGATGCATATATGTTTCAAAAAGAGCCTTTTCCTACTTTGTGCAGTGCGCAGGATGTTTTGATCCTTAGAAGGGAGGACAGATGTGAAGATCTTGCTGGACTGAAAATTGCTGAGCTAAGCGTCTACAGGAGCAGGTTATTTATAAAGAGATGCAGAAGGAAGGAGGAGGGGGGGGGGGGGTTACAGTGATGCAGCGACAAACCAAATGGATGCAGAGGAAATGGGAATACAGTAGCACTGGAAAAGAAAAAAATTACCTGTGTCTTTCAGTGCATATAGCACAGAAAAGGCACTGACGGTAGACAAAAACTATAATATGCTTGGCAAATAGGAATTGAGAGCCTGGAGAAGAGGCAAAAATCATATAGGTGACATTACAAGGAGCTGATATAACACTGTACACAGACAAAGGCAATTAAATAAGACAGTAGAGTATGTAGCTTATTAAAGTGCCAGCAAAAAATGTTCTGAATGTCTTTATGTATGCACAAGCAGAATAATGTAATCACCAGCGAACTAAATGATGATAATTTGTTTTTGGGAAATATATTTAACTGTATATTTACATATATATATATATATATATATATATATATATATATATATATATGCTTGGTTCCGTTAGAACCTTTTTTTAACCTTTTGGGAAAGTAATCTTCCTTAGTAAACTCACTCAATTAGACTTATGTACTTAAAATGGATGATAGTTCACAAAACAAATGACAATATATTAAAAAAAAATACTAAAACTAAGTTTTAAGTGAATTACATCATATTGCATTTCCAAAATGAATTCAAGAAGTACTGATGTGTTGTCTTTTTAGTCTGTCTCGTTAAATATCTTATACTGGTTAAGTGGCAATAGAAAAAATGTATACAATATTTGAACAATGTAGATGTCATGTGAGATGCCTACAAAGCAATAGAAACAATACACTTGTGAGTCATTTTAGGTTCTATGCATAATATATAAAATAAGTACCGTATATTAACATTTTGAATGTGATTTTGCAGAGGACCATGAGGCAACTAAGAAAGTTTTATAAAGATCAAAGAGTCAATATCCTAATCACTGGCAGACTGGTTAAAAACCACATATGCAAAATAGGAGCAAACTATCTTGCTGTGATACAATGGGTGAAGCAATAACGCTTTACACTGAATATAAAAAGGAATGCTACATCATTATAACTTCTGGATAAATATTTTTTAAGATATTCATTGTATTTTTCTGTTATGTCCAGTCAGTTGAAAATCCTCTATGTCTATGCAACGTCAATATAGAAATATTTGTATATTAGTCTACAAAGGTATTATTAGTCCTTTACTGTATTTACTATATACATTATGTATACACAGATTATTTTAACATGAAAGTTAAAGTGTAACTAAACCCACAACTGTGAAATCAGTCTGTATATGCAGTAAAGCATGCTTGTTATACTCATTGTGGAACCTAGGGGGTTAATCCTCCGCATTGTGTAAAAAAGGCTGTTTGATTCTGTCTTCTCTGATCCTCTCCTATCCTCTCCTTCTGTCCCCAGCCCATCTGCTGATAGTACAGAGCCCTAGGAGGTACTCTGCACATGCTCAGTTTAGTATGTATTGCTAGAGAGTTTTTTTTTTTTTTCTTTGAGAGGGTGCTTGTGATCAGCACAGGGCCAATTAACACTGTCCAAACAGAGGGTCAGGGGTCATGCAGTCTCATAGGAGAGTCAGAGGAGAATGAAAACTCCTCCTATAAGATTAACCAGTGGTCGTTTGGATATTGATAGAAGTCACAAGACTGCTATATACTGCTGATGAGAAAAGGTATTTAGCAGCTTATATTTACTAAAATAATTGCATTTCCATGTTCTGTATACTGTGGGAGACCAGATATAGAGAATGCAGGGTCCTTGGTTTAGTAACATTTTAATTCTTGCTTTCAAGTATGACTTTAATTATGAGTTGATCTTTTCACCACAGCCCAGGTCATTAGCTTTTAGCACCATTTATGTTCCTTATTTTGTGTGTTCATGTTTGTTATACATTTTTTTTTTGTTATACATCACTCTCACAATTAGGGAACTATTACCTACGTTTTGAGTTTGTTTTCTTGACACTGAAACTAGCACTGTTATATCTTCTGGGGACTTCAGCTGAGTATTTATCTTCCTGAAAATCAAAAAATATTATGCATTTCTTCACAGAAATCCTTGCTCTATGAGACCTACCTGTCCTGAAAGCTTGTTGGCTGTACTTCTCCTGTGGATTACAGGAGTACAGTTCGTTCTGCACTCCTGTGATCCGTTTTCAGCTGACAGTGGGCTAAAGTCCTCTGTTGGCTGACATCACTCAGCCTGTCCAGGCTGAGTGAAGATCCTGAATTTAAAGTCGGGATCCACCCCAATATCTGCATCAGCACCTGGCCCAGCCTCTCTGCAGGTCGCTGAGAGCCTTGAGCCAGCCACTCCCTCCCCCTCCA